GAACAAGGGCCTAGCGTGTGCAAAATTGCAAGAACAAGGGCATAGCGTGTGCAAAATTGCAAGAACAAGGGCCAAGCGTGTGCAAAATTGCGAGAACAAGGGCATAGCGTGTGCAAAATTGCAAGAACAAGGGTCTAGCGTGTGCAAAATAGCAACAACAATGGCCTAGCGTGTGCAAAATTGCAAGAACAAGGGTCTAGCTTGTGCAAAAAAGCAAGAACAAGGGCCTAGCATGTGCAAAATTGGAAGAACAAGGGCCTAGCGTGTGCAAAATTGCAAGAACAAGGGTCTAGCGTGTGCAAAATAGCGTGTGCAAAATTGCAAGAACAAGGGCCTAGCGTGTGCAAAATTGCAAGAACAAGGGCCTAGCGTGCGCAAGATTGCAAGAACAAGGGCATAACGTGTGCAAAATTGCAAGAACAAGGGCCTAGCGTGTGCAAAATTGCAAGAACAAGGGCCTAGCGTGTGCAAAATTGAAAAGACAAGGGGCTAGCGTGTGCAAAAAAGCAAGAACAAGGGCCTAGCGTGTGCAAAATTGCAAGAACAATGGGCTAGCGTGTGCAACATTGCAAGAACAAGGGCCTAGCGTGTGCAAAATCGCATGAACTAGGGCCTAGCGTGTGCAAAATTGCAAGAACAAGGGCCTAGCGTGTGCAAAATTGCAAGAACAAGGGCCTAGCGTGTGTAAAATTGCAAGAACAAGGGTCTAGGGTGTGCAAAGTAGCAAGAACGAGGGCCTAGCGTATTCAAAATTGCAAGAACAAGGGCCTAGCGTGTGCAAAATTCCAAGAACAAGGGTCTTGCGTGTTCAAAATAGCGTGTGCAAAGAGGCAAGAACAAGGGCCCAGCGTGTGCAGAATTGCAAGAACAAGGGACTAGCGTGTGCAAAATTGCAAGAACAAGGGCCTAGCATGTGCAAAATTGCAAGAACAAGGGCCTAGCATGTGCAAAATTGCAAGAACAAGGGCCTAGCGTGTGCAAAATTGCAACAACAAGGGCCTAGCGTGTGCAAAATTGCAAGAACAAGGGCCTAGCGTGTGCAACATTGCAAGAACAAGGGCCTAGCGTGTGCACAATTGCAAGAACAAGGGCCTAGCGTGTGCAAAATTGCAAGAACAAGGGTCTAGCGTGTGCAAAATAGCAACAACAAGGGCCTAGCGTGTGCAAAATTGCAAGAACAAGGGTCAAGCATGTGCAAAATAGCAAGAACAAGGGCCTAGCGTGTGCAAAATTGCAAGAACAAGGGCCTAGCATGTGCGAAATTGCAAGAACAAGGGCCTAGCGTGCGCAAGATTGGAAGAACAAGGGCCTAGCGTGTGCAAAATTGCAAGAACAAGGGCCTAGCGTGTGCAAAATTGCAAGAACAAGGGCCTAGCGTGTGCAAAATTGCAAGAACAAGGGCCTAGCGTGTGCAAAATTGAAAGAACAAGGGCCTAGCGTGTGCAAAATAAAAAGAACAAGGGCCTGGCGTGTGCAAAATTGCAAGAACAAGGGCCTATCAAGTGCGAAATAGCAAGAGCAAGGGCCTAGCTTATGCAAAAAATCAAGAACAAGGGCCTAGCTTTCGCGAAATAGCAAGAACGAGGGCCTAGCGTTTGCAAAATAGCAAGAACAAGGGCCTAGCGTGTGCAAAATAAAAAGAACAAGGGCCTAGCGTGTGCAAAATAAAAAGAACAACGGCCTAGCGTGTGCAAAATTGCAAGAACAAGGGCCTAGCGAGTGCAAAATAGCAAGAGCAAGGGCCTAGCGTGTGCAAAAAATCAGGAACAAGGGCCTAGCGTTCGCGAAATAGCAAGAACAAGGGCCTAGCGTGTGCAAAAAAAAAAGGAACAAGGGTCTAGCATGTGCAAAATTGCAAGAACAAGGGCCTAGCGTGTGCAAAATAAAAAGAACAAGGGCATAGCGTGTGCAAAATAGCAAGAACAAGGGCCTAGCGTGTGCAAAATACATAGAACAAGGGCCTAGCGTGTGCAAAATAAAAAGAACAAGGGCCTAGCGTGTGCAAAATTGCAAGAACAAGGGCCTAGCGTTTGCAAAATTGCAAGAACAACGGCCTAGCGAGTGCAAAATAGCAAAAGCAAGGGCCTAGCGTGTGCAAAAAATCAAGAACAAGGGCCTAGCGTTCGCAAAATAGCAAGAACAAGGGCCTAGCGTGTGCAAAATAAAAAGAACAAGGGTCTAGCATGTGCAAAATTGCAAGAACAAGGGCCTAGCGTGTGCAAAATAAAAAGAACAAGGGCATAGCGTGTGCAAAATAAAAAGAACAAGAGCCTAGCGTGTGCAAAATAAAAAGAACAAGGGCCTAGCGTGTGCAAAATTGCAAGAACAAGGGCCTAGGATGTGCAAAATTGCAAGAACAAGGGCCTAGCGAGTGCAAAATAGCAAGAGCAGGGGCCTAGCGTGTGCAAAAAATCAAGAACAAGGGCCTAGCGTTCGCGAAATAGCAAGAACAAGGGCCTAGCGTGTGCAAAATAAAAAGAACAAGGGCATGGCGTGTGCAAAATAGCAAGAACAAGGGCCTAGCGTGTGCAAAATAAAAAGAACAAGGGCCTAGCGTGTGCAAAATAAAAAGAACAAGGGCCTAGCGTATGCAAAATTGCAAGAACAAGGGCCTACCGTGTGCAAAATAGCAAGAACAAGGGCCTAGCGAGTGCAAAATAGCAAGAGCAAGGGCCCAGCGTGTGCCAAAAATCAAGAACAAGGGCCTAGCGTTCGCGAAATAGCAAGAACAAGGGCCTAGCGTGTGCAAAATAGAAAGAACAAGGGTCTAGCATGTGCAAAATTGAAGGAACAAGGGCCTAGCGTGTGCAAAATAAAAAGAACAAGGGCATAGCGTGTGCAAAATAAAAAGAACAAGGGCATAGCGTGTGCAAAAAAAAAAGAACAAGAGCCTAGCGTGTGCAAAATAAAAAGAACAAGGGCCTAGCGTGTGCAAAATTGCAAGAACAAGGGCCTAGCATGTGCAAAATTGCAAGAACAAGGGCCTAGCGAGTGCAAAATAGCAAGAGCAGGGGCCTAGCGTGTGCAAAAAATCAAGAACAAGGGCCTGGCGTGTGCAAAATAAAAAGGAACAAGGGCATAGCGTGTGCAAAATAGCAAGAACAAGGGCCTAGCGTGTGCAAAATAAAAAGAACAAGGGCCTAGCATGTGCAAAAGAAAAAGAACAAGGGCCTAGCGTGTGCAAAATTGCAAGAACAAGGGCCTAGCATGTGCAAAATTGCAAGAACAAGGGCCTAGCGAGTGCAAAATAGCAAGACGAAGGGCCTAGCGTGTGCAAAACATCAAGAACAAGGGCCTAGCATTCGCGAAATAGCAAGAACAAGGGCCTAGCGTGTGCAAAATAAAACGAACAAGGGTCTAGCATGTGCAAAATTGCAAGAACAAGGGCCTAGCTTGTGCAAAAAAAAAAAAACAAGGGCATAGCGTGTGCAAAATAGCAAGAACAAGGGCCTAGCGTGTGCAAAATAAAAAGAATAAGGACCTAGCGTGTGCAAAATAATAAGAGCAAGGGCCTAGCGTGTGCAAAATTGCAAGAACAAGGGCCTAGCGTGTGCAAAATTGCAAGAACAAGGGCCTAGCAAGTGCAAAATAGCAAGAGCAAGGGCCTAGCGTGTGCAAAAAATCAACAACAAGGGTCTAACATTCGCGAAATAGCAAGAACAATGTCCTAGCGTGTGCAAAATAAAAAGAACAAGGGTCTAGCATGTGCAAAATTGCAAGAACAAGGGCCTAGCGTGTGCAAAATAAAAAGAACAAGGGCACAGCGTGTGCAAAATAGCAAGAACAAGGGCCTAGCATGTGCAAAATAAAAAGAACTTAGGCCTAGCGTGTGCAAAATTGCAAGAACAAGGGCCTAGCGTGTGCAAAATTGCAAGAACAGGGGCCTAGCATGTGCAAAATTGCAAGAACAAGGGCCTAGCGATTGCAAAATAGCAAGAGCGGGGGCCTAGCGTGTGCAAAAAAATAAGAACAAGGGCCTAGCGTTCGCGAAATAGCAAGAACAAGGGCCTAGCATGTGCAAAAGAAAAAGAAGAAGGGCCTAGCGTCTGCAAAATAAAAAGAACAAGGGCCTAGCGTGTGCAAAAGAAAAAGAACAAGGGCCTAGCGTGTGCAAAATTGCAAGAACAAGGGCCTAGCGTGTGCAAAATTGCAAGAACAAGGGCCTAGCGAGTGCAAAATAGCAAGACAAGGGGCCTAGCGTGTGCAAACAATCAAGAACAAGGGCCTAGCGTTCGCGAAATAGCAACAACAAGGGCCTAGCGTGTGCAAAATAAAAAGAACGAGGGTCTAGCATGTGCAAAATTGCAAGAACAAGGGCCTAGCGTGTGCAAAATAAAAAGAACAAGGGCATAGCGTGTGCAAAATAGCAAGAACAAGGGCCTAGCGTGTGCAAAATAAAAAGAACAAGGGCCTAGCGTGTGCAAAATAAAAAGAACAAGGGCCTAGCGTGTGCAAAATTGCAAGAACAAGGGCCTAGCGTGCGCAAAATTGCAAGAACAAGGGCCTAGCGAGTGCAAAATAGCAAGCGCAAGGGCCTAGCGTGTGCCAAAAATCAAGAACAAGGGCCTAGCGTTCGCGAAAAATCAAGAACAAGGGCCTAGCGTGTGCAAAATAAAAAGAACAAGGGTCTAGCATGTGCAAAATTGCAAGAACAAGGTGTGAAGTAAGGAAAACAGGAATGAAATGACTAAGGAAAGATTGGGTACAAATACAACCCTAGAAACCCTGTACCCCATATGTGCTACCCCACTATAGCCTAGAAACATGCATCAGCTATAATACTCTGACACACCCCCATAGGCTAAGTGGGGGAGAACAAGGGGTCACAAGACCAGTCAAGCAAAGCAAAGCAAAGCAAGCTCAGGGTGGATCACAAAGTCACCACACAGTCCGAGCACAAGAGCAGGGCCAGAGGCCAGTTCACATGCAGGAGTACAGACATATATATAAAACTAGACAAGCAAGAGCAGGTATATATATATGTCACAGTACACGTGAAGTCAAGAGGAGAGCAAGTTAGGCAAGACAGGTACAAGACCCAGCTGGGTGCAAAAGCGCTGATGGTCACAAGGCGCGAGTGCCTTGGTGAACACATCAGCAGTGTTGGCCTCAGAGGCCATGTACGCAAGTCGCAACTGACCACGCTGCTGCAGCTCACGAGCAAGGAAGTAGCGGAGAGCAATGTGCTTCGTTCTGTGCTCCAAGCGCTGCTCTCGACACAAGGCCAGCATGGCCTTGTTGTCTACGTACAGCACTGGAGGAGAACGAGGCGGCTCTCCAAGGTCAGTCAGCAGGTAGGTGAGCCAGCGAAGCTCCTGTGCAGCCATGGCCCCGGCGTAGATCTCAGCCTCACAACTGGAGCCGAGAACCGAAGACGAGCGAGTAGACCGCCACGAGACAGAGCCGGAACCAAGGCTGAAGGTGTAACCCTGTGACGACCGCTGCGTAGCCTGGTCGTCAGCCCAAGAAGCGTCCGCGTGGCCGGTAAGGACCACTGGACTCCGCCCTCCAAGCACTAGCCCCATGCCCGACGTACTGCACAGGTAGCGCAATACCCTCTTCGCTGCAGCCATGTGCTCCGGTCTGTGTCTCCCAGGAGCAACATAGCGTGCAAGAATGCTCAGAGGGTATGCAAGGTCAGGTCGTGTGCAGGTCATCAGGTACATGAGGCAGCCAACAAGCTCTGCATACGGACCACTCGACTCTACGGACTCATCCGAAGGCAGAGCTGAGAGTGAGTGGCGAGTAGGCAGAGGAGTGGCCTGAGGCGAGGAGTACGTGAAGCCGAAGCGCTGAAGGACCTGCTGCACCATGTGTGACTGAGTCAAGGTAATGGTGCGGCGTGCTCTGTCCCGAGTGATCTGCAAGCCAAGGTAGCTGCGCAGTTCACCCAGGTCTGTGCACGTGTGTCTCTTCAGCAGCTCGGACTTCACGTAGGCGAGTCCAGCAGTGTCCGCTGTGGCAAAGACCAAGTCGTCGACATACACGAGGATGTAGAACGGCGGCAGGGAAGTGTCGGTGCGAAGAAACAGCGACGGGTCAGCAGTAGAAGGAGCAAACCCAAGAGCCGCAAGCGTAGTCCTCAGTGTGTCGTGCCACTCACGCGGTGCCTGGCGGAGACCGTAGACTGGCCGTCGGAGGCTCCACTGGGTGCCAGGAGGGAAAGTCCCAGTGAAGCCAGGTGGACGGCGAAGCCAGATCTCCTCGTGCAGGCAAGAACGCAGTGCTGAAGTCGAGAGAGTGAAGCTCGTAGTCGCGCTGAGCGGCTATGTGCAGCAGCACCCGAAGAGTAGTCATCTTCGGGGTGGGAGAGAAGGTCTGAAAGTAGTCAACTCCCTGCCGCTGACTGAAGCCACGAGCAACGTACCGTGCCTTGAAGACAGGTGGAGAGCCCGGCGGCCGCTTCACCCTGAAGATCCACATGCCACTGACGATGTTCGCCCCAGGAGGGGGAAACGCGTCAACGTAGGTGCCTGTGGACTTCCAGGAAGCCATCTCTGCATCCATAGCTGCCTGCCACTGAGAGGAGTAGGGACCCTCTACGGCCTCCGCGTAAGAACGCGGAGTCGGGATGTCTAGTGCATCCGGGTCTCCCTCAGGGGCAAGCAGTACAGACGCGAGATGAGGTGAAGCAGCCGCTAGACACTGTAACTCCTCCTGCCTGTCCTCTAGGACGTCCGTGCCAAGAGCACACTCACCCCCGACGGACGGAGGACAGACAGACGCAGACTCAGCAACAAGACTAGCAGCGTAGTCGAGACGACAGCGAGCAGCAAAGTCGACGAGCTCAGCGACTAGAGCAGACGCAGCAGTGGACTCAAAAGAGGGGTCAGTGACGACAGTAGCAAGCAGACGCGTGACAGTAGGACTGGCAGCACGAAGAGAGTCCGACTCAGGGTCGGCAAGCGCAGGAAGAGAGGACTCAGGAGGAGAAGGCAAAGGGGCACGCAGAGGAGCAGTGGACGGACGCAAGGACATATGGTGTGTGCCAGGGACAGGAGGAGGACGCTGACGCGAACTGCGACCACTAGCGCGAGCAGCACGAACAGGCGACGCGGGACGAGACGCAGGCTCACGACGCTCAGCCAGACCTCCAGTAGGACCAGTGTAAGGAGAGGGAGCAGGCAGTGGAGAGGAAGGCTCCAGCAGGGACTGCGACTGGACAGGCGGTGGACCCTCTACTAGAGGAGAAAGACCAAGAACCTGCTGCAGGAGCGGAACGAAGTACGGCCGAGGCCGCGCGGCAGCTCCAGACTCAGCAGGGACAGCACCACCACCCTCAGCGTCAGCACCAGCGCCACCCACACCTCCAGCGGCAGGACCAACAGCAGTAGGCTCAGCACCAACGCCCTCAGCAGCTCCAGCTCCAGGAGGACCCGCAGGTCCAGCAGCTCCGGGACCGGCAGCACCCGCACCCTCGACGGTCGAAGAAGCTCCAGCTCCAGCTCCAGTAGCACCTCCGGACGCAGCAGCACGCCTCCAGCGGCGAGCGAACCACTCGCGCAGCTCCTGCGGAGAGAGGGGCTCCCGGCGAGACGCAGCAGCAGGAGAAACCCCAGGCTCAGTAGCTCCAGACGCAGCACCCCCAGGCTCAGCAGCTCCCAGCACAGCACCCCCAGGCTCAGCAGCTCCCGACCCAGCACCCCCAGACCTAGCACCTCCAGGCACAGCACCCCCCGGCTCAGCACCCCAAGGCTCCGCACCCTCCGCAGTAGCACCCTCAGGCCCAGCACCCCCGGCAGTAGCACCCCCAGGCTAAGCACCCCCGCGCACAGCACCCCCAGAGTCAGCACCCCCAGGCTCAGCACCCGCAGCAGCACCAGAGTCACCAGTAACCTCGACCGGGTCAACGGCGTCTACCTGGGACACACCTGAGGGGGCAGGAACCTGAGGGGGGAGGGGGTCTACCGGGGGGGGAACCGGCACAAGGAAGTCCGGGGGAGGGGGGAGGGAAGGAGTGCGGTAGGGGAAGAGACGGTAGAAGGGGACTGACTCGTCGAACGTGACGTCCTGGGAGGACAGAACACGACGAGAGGAGGGGTGGTAAAACTGCCACCCTGGGGCGTCAGTGGGGAAGCCAAGGAAGACACAGGGAGCAGCACGAGGGGACAGCTTGTCCGCAGACAAGTCGCGGACAAACGCCCGAGATCCCCAGACACGGAACACAGACGCATCGCCAACCTTCCCCGTCCACAGCAAGACTGGGGACATCGCAGGCCGAGAGACCCGGGGGTGAAGGTTGAGCTGATGCGCCGCGTACCTCACCGCAAACGGCCACAGAAAATGGGGGGCAGCCGCATGCATCATGGACGTACGAGCGACATCCATGACCATGCCAATGCGGCGCTCAGCAATCCCATTTTGCTGTGGTGAGTCCGGAAGCGTGAAGGTCTGGCGGATCCCCCGCGCACGACAGTAGTCCCGCAGAAGGCGAGAAGAGAACTCTCCGCCTCTGTCCGAGTGCAGACGCAGAACAGGAAAGTCCGAGCCGAAGCTCTTCCTGTGCTGGAGACGAGCCTCGCGGATCCAGTCGATCAGCACCTCAGTGACCGCACCCTTGCTGCGCAAGGGGAGGACTGTGGTGTAACGCGAGTAGTCGTCAACCACCAACAGGAAGTAGCGCTCGTAACCCTGCCCACGGACGGGGGCTGGGCCCCACACATCCATGTGAAGCGTCTGCAGGGGAGCCTCTGTCGAGGGGAAGTGGGAGGAGTGAGGAGTAGCCCGGAGGCGACCCTCGACACAGGGGACACAGGAAGGTCCTGGCCCGGAGGGGAGAGGAGGGAGAGACTTGGGAAGACCAGAGACAAGGACACGGGAAGCCATGCTCCGAAGACGGGGCAAGGAGGGGTGGCCAAGACGGTGGTGCCACAGGAGAGTCTCGTGAGACAGGAGGCGACAAGAACAGGGGGCAGACTCAGGACCTGACCGGGACGCAGCAGCAAGCACCTGACCTGACGCAGCTACCTGACCGGACGCAGGGACAGGAGGAGACGAAGTGGTCAGGGTGTAGAGACTCGACCCCGGCCGACGCGAGAAGGTGGCTAGGTGTCGGCCTGTGCGTGCGTCCGTGCAGTGGGTCTCCCGCTGACTCGCAGGAGTTAACTGGTGAACCCCCGCATCCTGGAGGGCTGCACCACTCACCAAGTTCGTAGAGAACGAGGGAAGGTACAGACCAGACAGGGTGCCCGAAGGGGCAGCCGGACACGGGAGGACAGTGGAGAAGTGAGACAGGACAGGACCCCCAGAGGGGTCAGCAAGGGAGACCACAACCGGCCGGCCGAGCGGCGTAAGGGTAGTGCGGTCTCGAAAGAAGGAGCGAGAAGCGCCGGAGTCAAGTGTGAAAGTGAGGGAGGACGAGGACGACGCAGTACCTGAGAGCGCAGTCTCACCAGTACCTGAGAGCACATACGCACTGGCACCTAGAGCAGCAGCCTCACAAGCACCTAGCGCAGCAGTACCAATGCCCGGGTCGGGCTGGAAACAACGGTAACCCTCATTCTCCTCACTATAATCCACAACATACATAGCAGCAAGGATAGCATCAAAATCAAGATCAAAGATCGCTACACCAGCCCTGAGAAGCTCATCCCAGCGAGGGATCTCACTAGCCCCAGGGAACTGCTGACGCCAAGCGTCCACCTCCACACTGGGTGGCGTGGGCACCCCCACACTGCTCACCCGCGCGGTCGCCGGAACGAAGAACGTAGGTGCAGGGACCAGTACCCCCACCCCTCTGACGCCCAGCGTACCACTCACGAAGCTGCTGAGGCGGAGGGATGTCCCGCTACGCTGCTGAGTACCACCTCGACCAGCTCCACCTCCTCCACCACCACCGCCTCCTCCGCTGCCGCCTCCACCGCCTCCACCTCCGCCGCCTCCACCACCGCCGCTGCCTCCACCACCACCGCTGGCACCACCACCACCGTCTCCGCCACTGCTGCCACCACCACCACCACTCCCGCCACTAGTCCCGCCGCCACCCCCACTCCCTCCGCCGCCACCGCCGCCACCGCCACCGCTCCCTCCAGCTCCACCCGCGCCCTTGCCCCCCTTGCCCTTGCTGGAGCGACGTCTCCCACTAGGGGCAGACGCCGCGCCGACCGACTCAAGACCAAGCAGGTCGGCAGCAGCAGCAGAGGCAACAGAGGGCAGCAAGGGGGAAGGAGAGCACCCCTCAAAGATGGGGGTGCGAGGGTCACCACGAGAAGCACCTACAGCGACTATGCTCTTCTCCGCTGCGAGGAGGGCCTTCTCGAGGAGGTCGACGGTGAGGGTGGTGGGACAGACTGCGAGAAAGTGGTCCCTGACGACGCGAAGGGAGTCAGGGAGTCGCGCGACTACGTAGTAGAGAGCGATGTACATGGGGGGGGGGGTTCTTAGCGCAGAACTCAGCAGGAAGGGCGGCGCGGTAGCGAGTGTCACTAGTGCGGAGGTGCGTAATGAGGTCAGCGACAGTGGGAAAGGCAGAGAGGTCAGGAAAGAGGTAGGGAAGCATGAGACGGCTCAGTGCAGCAGTGGCAGGGGAGGAGTAGCGCGCAACTACAGCGTCGTACAAGGTGTGAGCACACTTGTACTGACTAAAGTGCGCACGCTCAGAGGTAGGGAGGTGGCGACGCACAGCAAGACGTGCAGCAGCATCGCGGGTGGCCCACTTAGAGCGGACAGTGGGATCAGCATCAGCAGCAGGAGCAGGAGAGGCGCCAGAGGTGAGGTCAAAGAGAGAAAGGTCGTCAGCCCTGTCGCACTGTAAGAACAGCTGCAGGTCGTCTAACCAGACCTCAAAATCAATGGCGCGACCCTCAGCGTCAAAAGCTAGGACACTAGGGGTAGCCATGGCGACGACAGCGACGCAGTGCAAGCAGTAGGGAAAGAGCTCGCAGTGTCAGTAGGACTGTGCTCACCAGGCAGGGCAGGTCGTGCAGCTATGCAGAAAGGCGGCTCAGCGACCGGGCGGCTCGGGTGCACAGCGGCTCGGCTCCCGGGCGGCTCGGCGGCTGGGCGGCTCGGCTCCCGGGCGGCTCGGCGGTAGGGCGGCTCGGGTGCAGGGCGGCTCGGCTCCCGGGCGGCTCGGCAGCAGGGCGGCTCGGGTCCCGGGCGGCTCGGCGTTGGGCGGCTCGGCTCCCGGGCGGTTCGGCTGCTGGGGCGGCTCGGCCGGGAGATGCAGGGGCGGGGCCGTCAGGTGCAGCGGCAGGTCGACCGGTGCAGTGGCGGGCCGGCAGGTGCAGGGGCAGGCCGGCAGGTCTAGCGGCGGACCGGCAGGTGCAGGCGGCGGGCCGTAGGGTGCAGCGGCGGGCCGTAGGGTGCAGCGGCGGGCCGTAGGGTGCAGCGGCGGGCCGGCAGGTGCAGCGGCGGGCCGGCAGGTGCAGCGGCAGGGCCGTCAGGTGAAGCGGCGGGCCGCTGGGTGCAGCGGCGGGCCGACAGGTGCAGCGGGGGGGCCGTCAGAGGCGGCGGGCCGCTGGGTGCAGCGGCGGGCCGGCAGGTGCAGCGGCGGGCCGGCAGGAGCAGCGGCGGGCCGGTAGGAGCAGCGGCGGGGCCGTCAGGTGAGGCGGCGGGCCGGCAGGAGCAGCGGCGGGCCGTAGGGTGCAGCGGCGGGGCCGTCAGAGGCGGCGGGCCGGTAGGAGCAGCGGCGGGGCCGTCAGAGGCGGCGGCGGGGCCGCGACAGTAGAGGCGGGGCCGCGTCAGGGGAGGCGGCGGGGCCGCGTCAGGGGAGGCGGCGGGGCCGCGTCAAGCAGGCTGCAGGGCCGCGAGGGAAAAGGCGACCCGAGGGAACGCTAAAAAAAAAAAGAAAGGCGCGCCTCGGGGCGCGCTTCGGTGGGCCCTAAAAAAAAACAGTCCTAAGGCAGGACCCGCTCTATACCATGTGAAGTAAGGAAAACAGGAATGAAATGACTAAGGAAAGATTGGGTACAAATACAACCCTAGAAAACCTGTACCCCATATGTGCTACCCCACTATAGCCTAGAAACATGCATCAGCTATAATACTCTGACACAAGGGCCTAGCGTGTGCAAAATAAAAAGAACAAGGGCATAGCGTGTGCAAAATTAAAAGAACAAGGGCATAGCGTGCGCAAAATAAAAAGGACAAGAGCCTAGCGTTTGCAAAATAAAAAGAACAAGGGCCTAGCGTGTGCAAAATTGCAAGAACAAGGGCCTAGCATGTGCAAAATTGCAAGAACAAGGGCCTAGCGAGTGCAAAATAGCAAGAGCAGGGGCCTAGCGTGTGCAAGAAATCAAGAACAAGGGCCTAGCGTGTGCAAAATAAAAAGAACAAGGGTCTAGCATGTGCAAAATTGCAAGAACAAGGGCCTGGCGTGTGCAAAATTAAAAGAACAAGGGCATAGCGTGTGCAAAATAGCAAGAACAAGGGCCTAGCGTGTGCAAAATTGCAAGAACAAGGGCCTAGCGTGTGTAAAATTGCAAGAACAAGGGCCTAGCGAGTGCAAAATAGCAAGACGAGGGGCCTAGCGTGTGCAAAAAATCAAGAACAAAGGCCTAGCATTTGCGAAATAGCAAAAACAAGGGCCTAGCGTGTGCAAAATAAAAAGAACAAGGGTCTAGCATGTGCAAAATTGCAAGAACAAGGGCCTAGTGTGTGCAAAATAGCAAGAACAAGGGCATAGCGTGTGTAAAATAGCAAGAACAAGGGCCTAGCGTGTGCAAAATAAAAAGAACATAGGCCTAGCGTGTGCAAAATAAAAAGAACAAGGGCCTAGCGTGTGCAAGATTGCAAGAACAAGGGCCTAGCATGTGCAAAATTGCAAGAACAAGGGCCTAGCGAGTGCAAAATAGCAAGAGCAAGGGCCTAGCATGTGCAAAAAATCAAGAACAAGGGCCTAGCTTTCGCGAAATAGCCAGAACGAGGGCCTAGTGTTTGCAAAATAGCAAGAACAAGGGCCTAGCGTGTGCAAAATAAAAAGAACAAGGGCCTAGCGTGTGCAAAATAAGAAGAAGAAGGGCCTAGCGTGTACAAAATTGCAAGAACAAGGGCCTAGCGTGTGCAAAATTGCAAGAACAAGGGCCTAGCGAGTGCAAAATACCAAGAGCAAGGGCCTAGCGTGTGCAAAAAATCAAGAACAAGGGCCCAGCGTTCACGAAATAGCAAGAACAAGGGCCTAGCGTGTGCAAAATTGCAAGAACAAGGGCCTAGCGTGTGCAAAATTGCAAGAACAAGGGCCTAGCGTGTGCAAAATAAAAAGAACAAGGGCATAGCTTGTGCAAAATAGCAAGAACAAGGGCCTAGCATGTGCAAAATAAAAAGAACAAGGGCCTAGCGTGTGCAAAATAAAAAGAACAAGGGCCTAGCGTGTGCAAAATTGCAAGAACAAGGGCCTAGCGTGTGCAAAATTGCAAGAACAAGGGCATAGCTTGTGCAAAATAGCAAGAACAAGGGCCTAGCGAGTGCAAAATAGCAAGAGGAAGGGCCTAGCGTGTGCAAAAAATCAAGAACAAGGGCCTAGCGTGTGCAAAATAAAAAGAACAAGGGTCTAGCATGTGCAAAATTGCAAGAACAAGGGCCTAGCCTGTGCAAAATAAAAAGAACAAGGGCATAGCGTGTGCAAAATAAAAAGAACAAAGGCATAGCGTGAGCAAAATAAAAAGAACAAGAGCCTAGCGTGTGCAAAATAAAAAGAACAAGGGCCTAGCGTGTGCAAAATTGCAAGAACCAGGGCCTAGCATGTGCAAAATTGCAAGGACAAGGGCCTAGCGTGTGCAAAATTTTAAGAACAAGGGCCTAGCGTTCGCGAAATAGCAAGAACAAGGGCCTAGCGTGTGCAAAATAAAAAGAACAAGGGCATAGCGTCTGCAAAGTAGCAAGAACAAGGGCCTAGCATGTGCAAAATAAAAAGAACAAGGGCCTAGCGTGTGCAAAATTGCAAGAACAAGGGCCTAGCGTGTGCAAAATTGCAAGAACAAGGGCCTAGCGAGTGCAAAATAGCAAGAGCAAGGGCCTAGCGTGTGCCAAAAATCAAGAACAAGGGCTTAGCGTTCGCAAAATAGCAAGAACAAGGGCCTAGCGTGTGCAAAATAAAAAGAACAAGGGTCTAGCATATGCAAAATTGCAAGAACAAGGGCCTAGCGTGTGCAAAATAAAAAGAACAAGGGCCTAGCGTGTGCAAAATAAAAAGAACAATGGCCTAGCGTGTGCAAAATTGCAAGAACAAGGGCCTAGCGTGTGCAAAATTGCAAGAACAAGGGCCTCGCGAGTGCAAAATAGCAAGAGCAACGGCCTAGCGTGTGCAAAAAATCAAGAACAAGGGCCTAGCGTTCGCGAAATAGCAAGAACAAGGGCCTAGCGTGTGCAAAATTAAAAGAACAAGGGTCTAGCATGTGCAAAATTGCAAGAACAAGGGCCTAGCGTGTGCAAAATAAAACGAACAAGGGCATAGCGTGTGCAAAATAAAAAGAACAAGGGCATAGCGTGTGCAAAATAAAAAGAACAAGGGCCTAGCGTGTGCAAAATTGCAAGAACAAGGGCCTAACATGTGCAAAATTGCAAGAACAAGGGCCTAGCGAGTGCAAAATAGCAAGAGCGGGGGCCTAGCGTGTGCAAAAAATCAAGAACAAGGGCCTAGCGTTCGCGAAAAAGCAAGAACAAGGGCCTAGCGTGTGCAAAATTGCAAGAACAAGGGCCTAGCGAGTGCAAAATAGCAAGAGCAAGGGCCTAGCATGTGCCAAAAATCAAGAACAAGGGCCTAGCGTTCGCAAAATAGCAAGAACAAGGGCCTAGCGTGTGCAAAATAAAAAGAACAAGGGTATAGCATGTGCAAAATTGCAAGAACAAAGGCTTGGCGTGTGCAAAATAAAAAGAACAAGGGCATAGCGTGTGCAAAATAGCAAGAACAAGGGCCTAGCATGTGCAAAATAAAAAGAATAAGGGCCTAGCGTGTGCAAAAGAAAAAGAAAAAGGGCCTAGCGTGTGCAAAATTGCAAGAACAAGGGCCTAGCGTGTGCAAAATTGCAAGAACAAGGGCCCAGCGAGTGCAAAATAGCAAGACGAAGGGCCTAGCGTGTGCAAATAATCAAGAACAAGGGCCTAGCGTTCGCGAAATAGCAAGAACAAGGCCCTAGCATGTGCAAAATAAAACGAACAATGGTCTAGCATGTGCAAAATTGCAAGAACAAGGGCTTGGTGTGTGCAAAATAAAAAGAACAAAGGCATAGCGTGTGCAAAATAGCAAGAACAAGGGCCTAGCGTGTGCAAAATAAAAAGAACAAGGGCCTAGCATGTGCAAAAGAAAAAGAACAAGGGCCTAGCGTGTGCAAAATTGCAAGAACAAGGGCCTAGCGTGTGCAAAATAGCAAGAACAAGGGCCTAGCGAGTGCAAAATAGCAAGAGCAAGGGCCTAGCGTGTGCAAAAAATCAAGAACAAGGGCCTAGCGTTCGCGAAATAGCAAGAACAAGGGCCTAGCGTGTGCAAAATAAAAAGAACAAGGGCATAGCGTCTGCAAAATAGCAAGAACAAGGGCCTAGCATGTGCAAAATAAAAAGAACAAGGGCCTAGCGAGTGCAAAATAGCAAGAGCAAGGGCCTAGCGTGTGCAAAAAGTCAAGAACAAGGGCCTAGCGTGTGCAAAATAAAAAGAACAAGGGTCTAGCATGTGTAAAATTGCAAGAACAAGGGCCTGGCGTGTGCAAAATAAAACGAATAAGGGCATAGCGTGTGCAAAATAGCAAGAACAAGGGCCTAGCGTGTGCAAAATAAAAAGAACAAGGGCCTAGCGTGAGCAAAAGAAAAAGAACATGGGCCTAGCGTGTGCAAAATAAGAAGAACAAGGGCCTAGCGTGTGCAAAATTGCAAGAATAAGGGCCTAGCAAGTGCAAAATAGCAAGA